AATAATAATAAACTACATTTATCAACACATTTGCTTTCTAGTATATAGTATTTATTTACTGTGCTTTGTTTTGTGTTGCTCAAAGGTCAAGCTACGTACAGTGGCAGAAGACCTATGAATCCCTCTCTGATATGGTAGTGCCTCGCTCCACCAAGTAAGTGACATTCCAAATTCAGGTCCCTGTTTGTTTCAGAGATCCCTGCCGTATTTCAGCCCCTCAGATTGCTGGATCCTGGAAGGAATCACGTGTCTAATGCATGGGCTCCATGTTAACCTATAGATTAGCCCAGTCTCATTCCCAGTTGAAATCAGCAATTACTCTGTTGAAGGGAAGTGCGGATGAAAGAAAAAAAAAAAATCAGTTTTTTTTACAATTAGCTTGTTGTTCCCTTTTCCTGTAATCTAGCTCTTTCACTTTTAACCAGGGTCTTTGCTTTTTGTGTAAAACAGACAAACAAATTGTTACAATAATCCAGGCATAATTCAGACACATACAATCACATGCAACTTTATGGAAACTACTTCTTACAAAGATCAAATGCTATCTTTGCATCTTTAATTGCTTCCTGCTGTAGAACAGGATAATTCTGTGTACTGTCATTTGCATTAGCAAATGCCATATTAACTTATCTTTTCACCTGGAGTAAGAAATCCTTAATAGGAATTAAATACTCCACCGCTTAGCTCCTGCAAACCATGAAGTTCAATCCAGGGCACAAGAGGTGACAGTGCTATTATCTGAAATGGAAGAAGTGGAAAGCACAGAGAAAGAAGCAAGCTGTGTGCTACTGCCTGTCTGAAAAACGCGAGTGCATGGGAAGTAGGGGAACATTACCGGGAAATATAGAGATATCAGGCAGGTAGAATATGTGTGTAGTACGATGGGTTCAGGAACTTAACTCGTGGGAGTTTTACATTGGAGATAGTGTGGCTGGTGCTAGTAAAGTCTTTGCTCTCTATTTCAGTCACAGCAGTTCTTGACAAACAGGGTGTTGTTCAGTATCATAAATGAAAAAAAGAACTGCAAAAGAGGGAAGGTAAAGAAAGCATGAGGGATTTGCCATGTCAAATCACAGCAGTGAATTTCCCTCCCACAGAATGATTGCTGAGGATGCAGAGGGAGGACTCTTCACCGTGACCCTATTTAGAAAAGTGATGGATGACTTCAAGGCTAAAGCCAGGGAGAACAGGTAAGAAGCACTGATTGCTAGGCAGGGCAGGCTAGCAAACAGATGATGAGGATAAGGTGAGGCTTGTTCTGTGTGCAGTACAGCTGAATCCATCACTGGTTTTTAGGACTTCGTTACTGTTTGGGCTGCTGCTGACCCTAAAGCCACTGAGAAGGCAGGGTGGGAAGGAGCTGTGGCAGCAGATACAGTGCTCCTATTTAAGCACCAAACTACAGATCCTGGAGTTGTCCTTCCTGCTCTCATGCTACTGACAGCAGGAAGCTTGCTTTCTGGGGGTGGCTTCAACTCCCACCCTCCACTTACTTTAACTGGTTAAATGGCTAGCAACTTTGAAACATCCCGTACCTGCTTCTCCAGAGGCAAAAGAAACGAGTGCGCATATTGCTTGGACTACGGCTTGTGAGAACAAATGTCATTCAATTGTAGGTTCATGGTTCGAGAATTTTATTTTGATGAGAAGGAACTGAAATGTGAAAAGGAAGAGCTGATGAAATTAGCTTCTGATAAGAAACAACAATATGTAAGTAGCACATCAAGTTGATGGCCCACATAAATGACAGCCTTTGCTACCAGCCTGCCTAAGCACCTCTCACTCAGAAATGGCTTTGTGGTTCCAACAGACTCCTGTGAGCTCCATTTAGCCCAGAAAACTGAGGCACAGGATAGGTAACACAACTTGCCCAAAGTGACTCAAGTTTCTGATGAACTGGGAGCCACTAAAAGGCTGCCTGAGAATTATCTCAGCAGCCCTTGATGGCCTCAACGGTGGTAGCTATGGAGCCGCTTCACGCAGCGAGGGGATCGCAATGCTGTTGTGTCTGTTCTCGTAGGGCCCGTTACTGCGCTGGCTGAAAGTGAACTTCAGTGAAGCATTTGTGGCTTGGATTCACGTGAAGGCCTTGAGAGTTTTTGTTGAATCTGTCTTGAGGTAAGTGGGTAAACATGCAGTGCCAGCAGAGATTCCTGCAGAAGTCAAAACGTACAGCTCTCTTCCTGGGGCAGTTCCTTCACGGGAGGGAACAACCCTTACACACTGCGCTCCAGAAGCTCACAGGAGACAACACAGATGACCACAAAAAAGGTGACATACCAGGTTGATGAAAAACTGTTCTTGGGGGCACTTACAGGCAAATGGAAAGCAGAAAGACACTGTTTAGTTGACTTTTGGCTTCAAAAAGAAAATGCTTTCTGGTAGGAGGCAGCACACCACCACTGAGATTGTGCACTGCAGCACACAGTCAGCTAGCGTGCCAGGAGGCTGAAGAGGGAGAAGGGCAGGGGTGGAAAGGTGTGCCCCTTCCCAGCAGATGATGGTGTATGTTGATGTGTTTCAAGGTATGGCCTCCCAGTGAATTTCCAAGCAATGCTGCTGCAGCCAAACAGGAAGTCTGTAAAACGCCTGAGGGATGTCCTAAACGTGGTCTTCAAACACCTGGATGAAGTCGCAGCAGCAAGTCTAATGGATGTATGTATTTGGGCTAAGACTGCACATGCTGCAGCTTGTCTCAGTTAGCCAAGTGAACGCTTTCACAGCCCAGGGGTTAGAGCAAGCAACTCCTCACACCTTGCAGTGCTAGGATCCCCAGATACAGCTCTAATCCCTGGTGGGTACAGATTGGATTAGGGTAACAGGTAGGCTCAGGTTATGATGGAGATGCGTAGAGATTGCTTACATTTTCTGTTGAAGCATCTGATGTTTACAGCTATCGGACTGAAATAGGTCTGCTCAATTATGTCAGTTCCTCTAGGTAAAAAGCTTCAAGTCTTCTATAAACATTCAGATCAACACAGGCAAGAAAAATGAATTCAGAACTAATCCCCTGTAAAAGGCTGTCATTGACTAAATACTTCAACCTAGGACTTCTGCAAGTGGCAGTGCTTGCTTTCTCCCTCCCTGTTATCTTGAGTGCACAGTTTAGGATAAACCAATTAGGATAAACCAGCAGGCGTTAGAACAGCCTAAAACCAGCAAGCATAAGCTTCCCAGTGCATGAAGGGAGGAGAAAGAAATGAGTTGCTCTAGAGCTGAAACACACAAAAGTGCTACAATACATCTTCATAAAGTTGCAACCAAGCATGAATTCTCAATGCTAACTGCATTAGGCAGCCTGAAAACACCAAGCAAACACCAGATTCTCAGCGGTGAATTCCTCATCTTAAGCACAGCAAATACAAAATTCCATTCCACTTGTGGGAGAGGAGCACAAAAGCAATCCAGTGTAGCTTGGAACTGTGCAACAGCTTGTTTACTGGTACTTAAGTCGTACTGTTTCCTTTTGCAGCCTGGCATGGACATCCCTGGTTTACAACTGAGTAATCAAGAATACTATCCTTATGTCTATTTCAAGATTGACCTCAGTCTTCTTGACTGCAGTTAAAGAAAAATTGCTCAAGCTTCATCTATTAATTTTCAAGACCCTAATATTACAGTAAAACAATCTTTAGCTGCTGAAAGTCAAATTAAAATGCAGATGCTGTAGCACGATAACTGCGTAAGATCTTCCTACCACTTCCAGTAATTTTTAGTGACTTCCATATAAATATCTCTTGGTCATAATTTTACAAAAACATATTTCAGAGGCAGGAGGTACAATGGTAGTATTTATTTTTTTTGTTAAGTTACAAAGATGGAATATCTATTGGACTTGAAATAAAACAATTTAAAAAGTATGGTGGCTAATGGATCTACTAGGTGTGCACAGTCCTGTTTTTCTAACAAAGCAAACTTAAAAAAAAAACCCAAAAAACAAAAACCCCAGTAAAAGTAGAAAGCATCAGAGCAAAACCCAAAGTTTTTTTTTTTTTTTTTTAATTTAAAAAAAGAAAAGCTTAAGAAGAAAGATCCTCAAAATTGCCGTGGAGCTTACTGTAGTGTGACTTATAGTCCCAAGTACTTATAAGTTTAGTTTTTGCCAAGACACTTCAGTTAGAGCAGTTCCATTAGATCTCATCTGCTGGGCTGTCAGAGTTGGAGCACATTTCCTGCACCGAGTGAGCAGTCAGGTTACTGTGGCTGCCTTTCATAGGGATGAGCTACAGGCAATCTCTTACACACGCTAGCTGACAAACATCCATATTAAGTTATTTCCTTGAAAGGAGGGGAAACTTTCAGTTCTTTCATTCCTTACTTATAAACAAGCTGACCACATGAGGGTCACTTCACTAGACACCAGTACACACGACATGGAGAGCAACAAAATATAATAGTATTTTTATTAAAAAAGCAGCAGCAACCATCCACATTCCTGATTCCCCTTCCAAGGAAATAGCAATTTCAAATCAAAACAATGCCAGATGGTAAGTGAAGAAATATTAGATCCAATTTGCTGGAGACAGCACCATGGTGTTTTTCTGTTAGCACCTGGAAATGCTCATGCCCTAAAATGGGGATTAGTTTCACTACTAATCCTGGGGAAAAGACCAAGAGCTCCTGGTGTCTCCCATTGCAGCAGCAACCCCATTTCCATTGTATTAATGATCTTACAAAGTCTGGCACAAAGAAAGAGAAAGCCCCTGAGAAGGAATAGGAAAAGGAAGACTAAAGAGCATTTGAACTAAGATTGTCTGTCTAATCAGGCTTTAGGCCAAACTGTCGAGATCATTCACTGCAAGGGGGTGGTTTCGGACTCCCCTCTACACCAGCCTCTCTATTCTACAGTTCACTTTTCGAGTTATCCAAAATGGGATAGCTTTTATCATGTGCACCTTTGTTACTCTATACAAGACTAACACTGTGTGTCAAAAATATTTTGTTTTATTCTTTAATTGAAACAGAAGCTGACCAGGTTCTACCTCCATGGGGGGAGGGGGGGAAATCACATTTAAAATTGGTTACATTTCAGCCTCCAGTAACACTCAAACAACACACTATCAACAAAATAAAAACCAAGATGTTCCAAAGAAATATCCATGTTGTCCTCAAAATATTTGTTACACAGAATACAATCAAATTTACTGGTTATGACAATTCATAGAATTTCTGCAATGTTTTCTTGAGATGCGTACAGTTCACTGCTGCAGTGCGTCAAACAGCACAGTGTGTCACGTGCTATTTCTCCATAAAAAGGCCACTGGAATATCCGTCTGATTGTGAACCAGGTTGTAAACTGCTGCGCAAACTCTCCCAAGAAAAGAAGTTTCCTGAAGATCTCACAGCTCATCTTTATCCCAGTCATCCAGATCCACATCACTGAGATCAATGTCATCTTCAACTGGAAGCTGTGAAAAACGGAAGGTTTTGAGCACACATTTAGAAGTGCTTAACACTAGAACATCACTGATTTTGCAAGATGCTTACTTCGTCCTGAGAGTAAGGCTCCTTCCTGTCATCTCTTTCATTCATAAAAACTCAGTGTATTAAGCACAAGACAAGCAATCAGTTTAGAGTAGGAGGTTGTTTTCTACTAATAAAAATACTCCAGATGAAGGCAAATACAGATGAACTATGTAACAAAGCTACTACCATATTCTGTATTTTAATTCCATCTGAAGTAGATCAAAGGATTGTAGTAACTTTGGGTTTTTTACAGCAATGTTGAACCTTAAGAACATACTCAATCGCTGTGTTATTACATGGGCTTCACCTTACAAACTTTCTGACATTAAGACTTTGATAAGGTCAGCATATTGCAGAACCAAAGTCTCCACAAGTGTTCAGGTCTTGAATGCATACACTACCACCTTCCTTACTCAGCGTAGGTAATAACAGGTTTCAGCCTCAAGGGATTCGGCTTTCAGATTACACCCTAACAGCTAGGCAGGAGTATCTGTCCACAACATCAGACAATGAACCTGGGGTTTGGTCTGGTGGCAGGATTTAGATAATGGGAAAACCATCAACACAGCTTGCCCCAACCTTTGAAAAACAAGAATTTTCATGTCGCCAGTTCTTAGTTACTCTGTCCAGTCACTTCTGAAGCTAGCAAATAATCAGCACTTTTAGAGATGGAGCACCTCTTACCTCACCATCTTTGCCATCCCAAGGTTCAACTGAATGAATTTTAGGGAAAGCCCCACCACCCACTGGTGCTGTAGAGCCACGACCAACCGACAGTTCCCTGAGAAAAAAAAAAAACAAAACAAAACACACAAAAAAACCCCAAAAGAGTTAGATTTAAGAATCTCCATCCACCTGGAACAGTGCCTGCTTCAGATAAAAGGAGGTTAACTTTGAATTCTGCTTGCATCTCTTGAAGCAAATCTAAACCATCTAGAACCAAAAGCTTTTCAAAATGAGAAGCAGAAAATGAAAGAGAGCCCTTAAAGCAGCATTGTGAATTTACAATTGGATCCAGAGACAAACTGTGAGCTACACTGTTTCATATTTCAGCAGTGCCCCTTGTTAACACTCATGAGCAAACACAGCCCCTTTACCAGTATATTGTGTACACTTGAGGCAACTCCAAGAGGAGTCTATAATTCTAGTTTTGGAAGTCACCTGCAACTGTTACCCGAAATTGCTAGTGATTTTTTTTTAGTGGACTACGCTGCACAGGTTACAATAGGTACAAGGTAACCAGCTTCTGCTTTGAGGCATCCCATCTTGCACTTGCTAGTTAGGCTTGCTCAAAAAGGCTAGCATTGAAATCCTAAAGAGCTAATCCCTTTGCATTCTTTCAGAGGCAAGTAAGACTGAGTAAGCATTCCTCCCTAGGTGGGGTCTACAATTTTTATGCTCTTCACAGTACTTGTTTCCTTACTTTTGGTCAACACTTTTGAGACTGCCCGTTAGATTACAAAAGCTGCATGCAGCAAGCCAAGTTAACAGCCAGCTACACCAACTGCTTTCTCTAGGCAGCACAGCTGAGCTGAGGTGTCAAGTAAGAGGTTATTTCAGCAAGTATTGCTCTGTAGTAAGACAATACCAAACCAATTATCTAACGCAATATAAGCTGTTCAGTTGGCTGTTGTGCCCTGGAAGCACCATCCACCCTCAAGAGGGGAGGCTTCACTAAGAGGGATTTTATAGACTAAGAGAATTTGCCATGTCTGAGAAAGGCAGACATTTCTCTCCCATGCAGTAGTACAGACTGTCTGGTATTACTCTTCTTGCATCTGAATCCTGTATTTTATTTGATGCTCTGAGAGCCTTCCCTTTTTGGCATTAAGAAGAAAGTCTGATCACTTACACATGTAAGAGAATATAGCACTGTTTCCATTAATCCAGCAGGAACAGGGTTCAATTAACATCAAGGTGGGGAGACGCTGTTGTATTTCGTTTTGCAATTCTGACTGTCCTTTGCCATTCTCCAAGCAAGGACACAGCAATAACACCGCTAATGAAAGCTCTCAAAGGCTCTTACACACCTTATGGCAGCTGGCATTTTAGCCAGAAGCAGAGTTTTCGCTTCACTTTGACCACGCTAAGTAACAGTTTAAGTTTAGCTGCTCTGTTTCAGTGCTGCTGCCACCTTCTGTCCTCTTCCTCATTTCCTTTCCCCATTCAATTCTTCTCAGTGCTGGCTCTTGCTCAACTATGCAAGAGGCAGTTTCAGGGAACCTGAGCTGAGCAGAGAGCTACTGACTTTTTGGATGGACTGCTTCAGCTCCCCCAATTAGTTCATCAGATGCCAGGAGAATGGGGAAGGGGAAGACAGGACCAGGCTGAACCAGAAAGATGAACAGCAACATACAGAACCTCAAGAACCTCAGCAGCACCCATTCAGATTCCCAAACTGAGAACTTCCCAATTACTAATCAGAATGCACCATTTGAATTAAATAATATTGATTTAATACTATGATTTAAATCCCATTAATTTCTTGGCTTACCAGAGAACCAGAATTTTTCAAGATCAAAGCTCACTTCCATTTTCAAAAGTTGTACTAAAACTACCATTTAAGTCTAAATGTCCGATTTCATTCTGTCCACCAAAAAAAGGTAGAGACTGCTTTATTAGTTGCAATCCTCACTGAAATCATTCCCTTACTCCAGTGACTGCTCGTCATCTTAGTTTTCTTAATATAAAAGTCTCATCTGATCCAGGAGAGCCTGATTTTGGTCTAAAGAGTCACAGCCTCAGTTACAGAAACATTTAAGTCATTTAAATATTTCATACCTGAGAAACTCATTAATCCCTTGCTCACTGAATGATCCTTTCAAAAGGGCAAATTTCATCTTCCGAGCATTAATAGCTGCCATTGCTGGATACCCAAAGCCTCCAATCCCCAAAGAGCTCTCGAGATCTGACTGAGCACCTGCCTCTGTCCACAGCCACCTTGAGGAAAAGAAAATAGAAAATTAATAATTAGGATAGGCACTACAATAATTTTGAAGTCACACATATCCTGCAACCCTCAGAGTTCAAGCTGGGCTCTGAACTGCCCTTGACAGTGTCAACTGTTATTGAAGTCAGCAGGTAATAGCAGGGTCCTGATCT